CTTCTTTTGGGCTTCATTTCCATTGTCTGTCCCTCAACCAACCATCTCAAACATTCTGACACTGCAGTTACCATATGTGCGGAGGATTCCAGAATCCGAACTGTATTTCTAGCTCAGGCCAAGTCTTTCTTCTGAGCTCCAGACGCATCACCCTTTGGGTATCCCACAGACACCTCCAATTCCAGGCCTGAACTGAACTCATCATTTTTCTCCACAGTTCTATATTTCCTCTATGCATCTTCAGTTCTGCAAGTTAGATACCTTTGAATTATCAGAGAGCTCTTCCTCTCCATCTCCCTTCCCACACAGCCAATCCTGACCATGCCTCCAATCTGTCCATTCCTCTCCCATCCCCAGCTTCACCATCCTAGTTCAAACCACCAAAAGCTCTTACTTGCATTACTTAGTGTAAGAGTCTCTAAATGTGTACTCACATCACAGGTGATCTTTCTACAATGGACACCTGATCCTCTCATACCCTGTTTAAAAACTTAATGGTTTCCCATCACCCTTAGGATAAGTCAAATCTGGGAATATAGTTAAGTAAGAAGGTCCTTCAAGACCCAACCCATTTCTTCTCCTGCCATTTCCCACCTCCTCCAACTTCATCATTCAAATTCTATGCTCCAGCTACACCGAACCACTGGCAGTTCCTCGAATATGACTGTCTCTTGCCTCTATACCTCTGTATGTGCTATGTTCTCTGTACCAAGTGCTCGTCTCCATTTCTGCTTGCTCCTGCCTTCATTCTTTCAGGGAAGAACTTGGCCTAAACATCATTCCCTCCAGGAAGCCTTTCCAGACTGACACCTCCAAATCTGGGTTAAGGCCCTCTCCCATGCTCCCAGAGCACTCAGTACTTTCTTCATAGAAGCATTTGTCCCTCTCTATTGTAAGTGCCTTTAACAAAGTAAGCATAAAGACAGAAGCTGTCATTCAAATTGGTATGTTTATCATCTTTCATAGCACATTCAAAAACCATAAACATTTGTCAAATGAATAAGTGAACCTCAAATGGGGGTGTTAGTAACTGAATGTAATTTCCATGAATGCTCCCATTTAGTTATGTACGGTATTTTAGCTTCTCCATGTTGCTTTCTCTCAATATTCATTTTCCCTGTGAAGCTTCCCATGCCTTCTCAAGGCTGTCCCTCCTGGTTTTACACTGAGTGGATACCCCTGGGTAAGCACCTGAGCCATAACTACCCCTCTGTGCTCAGGGCCTCAGAAAGTGCTGGTTCCACTGGACAGCCCAATCCCACACCAGCTGCACACTTTCCTTTTTTTCTTTCAGGAACATAGGGACACTTGAATATGTGATAGGGAACAATAAATATGAATAAATGAATTCTCTTAGGGGATAGCTCAATGGATTGGGGTAAAAAGAAAAAAATCCAACAAACCTACCACCGGATTTGATGAAAATTCTTTTAATTCAGAGGTAAAGTTGAATATATTGAGATTATCAGTTCAATCAGTTTATCTGCATTGTCAAGGAATAATGTATAACTCACAGATTTCTATAGCCATGATATTTTATAAATTATTGACATTTACTTCTAAATAAAAATTAATTTTCATTTTGAAATTCTAGTCCTGTATTTTCAATTTTATTTTCCCAGTTCTATAAATTTGTCCTAAAGAATACTTTGCAAGTGAGCAAAGGTAAAGAATGTTCATTGCAGCGTCTTTTTAAAGATAGATAATCCAAATGTCCATTGACAGGAGACTGGCTAAATAAATTATGGCACATTAATACAATCAAATATTATGTAGCTACTAAAAAGAATGAAGAGACTTCTCTGGACTAATGCCAAAAGGTATCTAGGACATAAGGTGAAATGGGAAACAAAACAAAAACAAATTATAAAGTGTAAAGAGTGATCACATTTCAGTTTTTTAAAATGTTCATTTATACTTAGTGAGAAAAAGGCCAACATTCATTGAACATTTACTATTGCCAGGCACTGTTTTAAGTGCTTAACATATATTAACTTATTTAATTCTCAAACCAGCCCTATGAAGTAGGTATTATTATTACCCTCACTTTCCAGGTGAAGAAACAGTTGAAAAGAGGTTAAGTTCTTGTCCAAGGTTGCTGCCAAGTGGCAGAGCCATAATTTGTTTCACAGCAGACTAGCTCCAAAGAGAGGAATAATATAGATTGTTAAGGGTGGTTGTACCTTAGGAGGTAGTATTAGATGGGACTTTTATTTTTTTTAAATATCTCTGTAAGGTTTGACTTTTTAAAAATAATAAACGTTACCTTTTTGGCATACACAAAAGATAAAAAGAGGAAAAAAGTAAAAACTGCTATCCTTTTTACTGGCTGGGCATGGAAGAGAGAAAGTGATTTCAGTCAAGAATAGTGTGGTATCTATCGTAGCATTCTCTTTTTGCCAGACCTACTATTTTATTTTCTCTTCATAGCATGTCTCCAGAGGAGTCTGCAGGGATTCAATTAATAGTTAGGGAATTGGGGGCTCTTAGAGTTTGAAGCTTTATTGACTGCTGTGCTATAAGTGTCAGAGAAAAAACAGTAACTCAACCACATGGCTGAATTTCCACAGTTGACTGGAGGCAGAGGCGTCACTGTTCCTCTTTGATTTAGCCAGGGTCTCTGACAGAGGGGAAGTGGCTACACACATGAGTGCTTCTTATAAGAGCCAAGGCTGTAGGGTGCGGAGGGGGGGGGAAATTAAAAAAAAAAAGAGTCAAGGCTGTGGACAGCCTATCACAGATACTTCCACCCCACCAAAAGGACACTTGAAAGAAGCCCAAGTTGGCTTCAAAGCCTTGAATGATTTTGTGTTGCTAAGACAATGAATAACCAAAGATAAGGCAAATCAAGCCAGTACTGGCTTTCATTCCTTTGACTTTAAGGTGAGGTGTGCCTGACTCTTGGATGCTATTTCCCTAGTGGACCAATAATATGACTAGTTTTTATTTAGCTTTCTAAAATATTTCCCCTGATAAAAGTAATGCATGATTATAGAAAATAAAACGCAGTAATAATATCACCACTCTGAGATAACTATTAATATAATAGTTTTGATATTTTGGTACATTTCCTTCTATAGTCTTTTTTAAAAAAATAAATATATACAATATGTTATATAAATATACACATATACATTTCAAAATGTGGGCCATACTATATAAGTTTGTATCTTTTTCCCCCCCACTTAACATATTGTCAAACATTTTCTCTGACAAAATATTCTTTGAAAAGTAATTTTTAGTGACAGAATAATACCTCATCATATGCATGTGACCATCTTTTTTCCATCATTTTTTAAAATTAGCTCCCAGTCTCTTTACCAGATCTAGACACAGCAGAACAAGTTCAAGTAAAGCTTCATTTCCGCCTTTCCCTATTAACTGCAGGAGAGTCTGCAGGGCACCACCAGGGGTCAGTGCAGAGCCATCGTCACACGAGCCGTTACTGTGCGTTCCTGCAACATGTCTTGATGAGAAAACTGGTTATGCAACAATCATATTAATAAATTCTATCTCTTAGATTAGAGGAGGCCTATTCACGTGAGTGGCCAAGTTCCCTTCAAGAGTAGGCTCCCTTAGTACGAATTTCTCAGATTGGAAATGCTCAGATTTCTCCAAATTAATTTATATTCAACATTTCCAAAACAGAGCTATTTTATAAACCAAGGTCTATCAAGGCAAGATTTGGTATTAGACCTGTTCTTACCTGCTTTGTATGAGATCATTTATGTATTAAATACTTTGCCTATTTTATAGGTTTGTTGGGAAAATCAAATAACATATGAAAGTATCTATTCATTATGAAACAGCATATAAACTTTAAGTTGCCTTTTCTTTAGTTGTCTTTTTTTAACGATGAGCTATTCAGATATTTGGATGAGTTATCTCCTATAAACATTAAAGAGCCCCAGCTAGTACTATGATTATGAAATGAGGTATAAGGGTATATGCAGTGGTGTGATCATGGATTATTTCATTGGTTTTCTTCCCTGTAGCTCTTGCTCTCCAGTGTTGAAGTCTCTGTGGAACTAGTAATCTGGTTTTCCTAGAAGCTGAAGTTCTCATTTATAGTCAATTTGGTTTAGTTCTTTTCCATCCTTATTTACCTGAGGCTCCTTCAGGAAAATTACTTTGAACTCGGAACTGGCTTTAACAACTTATAAGGAGGTAAATGACAGGGATCAAAAGCCACTCCAGGCCTGACATGCTTGACAGGCTCTGGCACAGAGTATTGGTATTCCTGGCCTCTCTAAACCCAGAAGTAACTATTAAGAACAAAAGATACCAAGGCCCCTATCTCCCACCTGGCCAGGCTTCTGACGCAGCCCTTCCATCTTCCTTCTGTTCTGTTTCCTCTCTAGTTCGCAGTGCCCCATCACTTGGCATCAGGGATAAAAAGGAGCTAAGGCTGGACGTTCTGAGAACCAGTTTGGTGTAGCCTTTCCTGAGAGCAGCCCAACCTGCTCACAAGTCCACTCTGACCAGTCTCAGAACACACAGGGGCCCAGGCAAAACAAGGCCTGGGGAGTCCCTTATCACTGGCACTTCATTTCCTGCTGGGCTAGAGCCTTAAGATCTCTGGTGGAAGGGCACAGAGGCCACACAAAGAGAATAAAAGATGGAGGCACAGTAGCTCACACTGTCCTGGGGAAGCTCCAGTAGAGAGCAGTCCTGGGTCTTCCCTCTGAGGTCCTACATCTTAGTGCAGGATCTAACACAGGGCACCAGTTGAACAGCTTGTGCTCTAGATAACTACAGTTCCTGGTACATAGTAGGTGTTACAGAAATACTCGTTACATGAATGAACGACAGGTTTAAGCCATAACACCAGCATTAGACCACACAGTACCTGGACACAGCTACAATTCTAATGCCAATCAAAAAAACAAACAACAGTGCAATTGAAGTAGTAGAACTAAGTCTAGGGACTTGAAAGTTAATCCAGAGGATCTCAACCGTCGGACACAACTCAGGAAAACTCAAGAGCCATACAATAGCAATGCAGCAACCAAGATCAATCACTGTTATTATTTAAAAGCAGTTTCTAGTACACAGGGCCTCGGGGCACTTACAACCCCCACAAGGGCCAACTACCTGAGATCAGAGTCTGACCAGCTAGGTGGCCCCCCTTGCATCCAGGAGGTGGTCAGGAGGCTCATCCAGAAGGGCTCTAAGACAGCAGCAGAGCTGACAAAGAGGTCCCATGGAAGTGTGCGGTTCCCTTGGCCTCAAGGCCACAAGTCCTAGCTGTAGGCCTCCTGACCTGCTAGGTACCCGCCTTCTGCTTTATTCTCAGAGACCACTGCAGAAGCCTGTGTTCCAGAATGGGCTGCCACTTGCCTAGGAAGGAAGCTGGGGGCACGTACGACCTGGTTACTCAATGTTGTCATAGACGTGGATCACATCCTCGTGGTTGCTGAGAACCTGGATGAGATAAGCAGCTTGTTCCAGGTCGGGGTCAGCCAGCTGCACCTTTGAGTTGGGGATGAACTCTAGTGTACAGGACACAGAACACAGGCCCAGGGAGTCCAGCTTCTTCCTCACTTGATGCAGTGATGAAACATCACAAATAAACTAGGGATAAAGGAAAGTCAGGAGCTGAGGAGCCAGGAGGTAATAAGACAAAGGTAGACAGAACTTGCAAAGTCCTAAATGTAAAAACCACTGTAATGTATCACTGGGTTTGAGCTCTTCACTGGCAGGCACATGTTCTCAATGTTCTGAATCTTTCTCATAGTCCTCAGTACAGTAGGCCCTATCCAGTATTCACTTAATAAATGTTTGTGCAATATGTGAACTCTTTGTCTCACCTCTACCCTGGGGTGCAGGAAGGAAGAAACCAAGAGAGGCATGCCTGAAGGCCCTATTAGGGCCCTCTTGGAAGCCCATCAAACACAAAGACTTCATACTTACTTTGAAAATGTTATTTTCTTCTTCATCTTCAGTTTCTTTGACATCCTCAGCTCCTGCTTCAATTGCCAGCTCCAGGGCACGCTCTAGGTTCACAGTTTTCTTTTCTTTGTCTTCCACTGCAACCACGATCACCCCCTTTTTGTCAAAGGAGTGACGAGCTCCTTCAGTCATCACTCCCCTGACAGGGAAGGAAATGGGCTGGAGTGAGTGAATGCCTTAGACACCCAGCCTCCATAAAGCACAGCAGGCTAATGCTATGTCTTTCCCACCCAGCCTACAGAGCACACACGGACATGGAGTGGCTCTCTTCCTGAAGGAGAAGATGCAGCTGTCGCTGGGTAAGGGAACAGTCCAAAAACAGCCCCATCCTCTATTTTCTGCCCTGACTGGACTTTGGAGAATGCAAAGACTTTGCTCATCATTGCCTGTGCCATTAAGACTCCAGTCCTGGTGGAACATTTTAAGACCTGGGTATTATATGGCTACAGATCAGATAATGGGACAAAGATCCTCTCCTACACCTGATGAACAAGTCTTTTGGATCCTGCATAGTATAGAACACTTTAAGGGGGAATCAATTCACTAACTGGATTCTGCTAAGGAGGAAGTATGCTTAAAACCTGAAACATGGCTGGGCATGGTGGCTCATGCCTATAATCCAAGCACTTTGGGAAACCAAGGCGGGAGGATTGCTTAAGGCCAGGAGTTCAAGACCAGCCTGGGCAACATAGTGAAACCCAGTCTCTCTAAAATAAATAAATAAATAAATAAAAATAATACAACTATTATGTACCCATAATAATTTTAAAAAAATTTTTTTAATGCAAAAAAAAAAAAACCCAAAAAGCTTGAAACACCACCAGGGATCAACCATATTATATAATAATAATAATAATAATACAACTATTATGTACCCATAATAATTTAAAAAAATTTTTTTAATGCAAAAAAAAAAAAAACTCAAAAAACTTGAAACACCACCAGGGATCAACAGTACTTGCCTAAAGGCTCTTCCACACCCTCCTAGAAACACACATACCCATTTTTGTTCAGGATTTGTTTAATGTCCGACTGACACTTGGAGCCACTATTAGACAATGCCTCAATGAGCAGAGAAGAGCCACCAGGGCCTCGAGCCTCATACAGCAAATATATGTCCTTAGTTTTCTGTAATAAACAACACAAGTACATGTTCATGTTTTCCAATACCCTCCCACATGTCAGCCCAGAACCACAGGTACCACAAAGTTGACTAGGCTAGATCCTGAGCTCTTAAGTCTTTATTTTTGTCCTTGCCCTCTAAGAAGAGACCCTCGGGACCAACTTTTGAAGTAACTGGAAGTACAACCCCTAGGAAGGGAGTCTATCTGCCTAGTCCTTCCCCATCGATCAGTCATCGATCAGTCATCTCCCAGCTTTGCTTCCTCCTCTGCTCCACAGAATCCAACATCTGTCCCCCTAGCCACTCCCACCAAGACTCATCCTCCTACACCCACATGCTGTAGGAAACTCCTGTGAAGTTTGAATGCTCCTAACCTGGGTTGCTGAGTACTACTGTGAAAAATCACACACCTGGGCCTCGTCATAAGAACTGCCCAAAACAGCGTGGTCTCAAAATCCAAATAATCCAGAACTCTAGTGACCACTTTCACCTGGACCTTCTACATCCCCTCTCATCCCCTGTCCATATATCTGATCTTCACCACTCTCTCCAAGCACCCTGTCCTGCACCTTCCAGGAACTCTCAACTAATAACTTCTCCCTTCCTCTTTCACAAAGGAAATAAAGTGCCACTAGGTGGGGGAAAAATCCTATATCTCCACCACGTTATCTGCACCACAGCCTACATGAAGGCAGTAATATAACAGTGAGAGCACAGGCTCTCAAGTACGTCTGGTTTCAAGTCTGTTATTTCCTGTGTGACCTGAGTCAAGACACCTAACCTTTCTGTGCCTCAGTTGTTTCAGGTTGTTTTGAGGACTCAGTGAGATAACCCATACAGAATTCTTATCAAAGTGCTTGGCCTGCAGTATGCACTCAATACCTATTAGCTATTAAGACTATTATTACTTCCTCAGATCCTTCCTACTTGTCCCGGAGGAAAAGGTTTCCCCTCACCTGGGCCCTACATCGCTGATCTCCCACTATCACTATCCCCCACCCTCTCCCTTTCTATTGGCTTTTCTTCCTTAGGGCGTAAACATCTGAAAAAGAAAAACAAACCCTTCCTCAACCTAACATTGGGGACTCCCCAACACTGTACTCCTTTTTTCTACCTCATCTCCTCCCAACTTGGCTAAACAGTCCCAGGCTGTATGGTTGTGTACACTGTGCAGCCTATTCCCAATGACACTCCTACAACCAATGGCCAAGGACAGAGAGCCCCGAGAAACCTCTGGATCGAGGGTATCAACCACATTGCTACCCTTCTCTCTGAAAATTTAAGGAGCTGTTTGGTGATCTTCCATACATGAACCCCGTGGGGGCTGTGATCAATAACAAGCATGTCAAACAGGACAAACCTCCATTTTCAGCGCTGCCTCAATCGTTGACTTGGGCATGTGCTTGCTGCGACACACCTCTAAGATGTTGGCCAGGTTGCTATTGAGCTCAGGGTTGGGGCCTCCCTCTGAGATAAAGAGAAAAGAGTGAGTGAAAACATCTCATTACGGCATGGGAGAAAAAAGGGATTTCCAGCATCTCCTCCCTAAACTGAAACTGGCAAGTCACCACTCAGCCTTTGGTTAGTTTAGAACATTTTATTCAGTGTTTAAATGGGATATGGAGGAGAAGTATTTTGGAAAAGAAGTTTCTAATTCACTCTGTCTTTAGGGATAGTTATTCTGTTACGTTTCAGCAAACTACTTTTTGTGTTAGATGAAGAAGTAAGGGACATAGATGGTAACAACGTCTCCTGGACTTATTAATACCCCTTGCTCTTACTCTGCTATTTTGTGCGTAAGTACTGAAATGCTCACATGACATTGTAATCATGCTCACTCTCTCCGAGGGTAGGGGCTGTATTTCATCATCTTTGTATTACCAGTGCCTGGCACAGAATAAACACTCGATAGTGTTGAACTTAGTATAAAGAATTTAGAAGAAAAAGAACCAAAGAGAAATACCAGGCATACGTTGCAAAGGTAAATTAATATTAATTGAGTGCCTCTTATGTGCCACAAACTACCTCAAGGTGTGCATTATCCCTGTTTTACAGAAAAGGAAGCTGAAACTCAACACCACTTGCTCAAGGTCATAAGTTAGTCAGTGACAGAAACCAAGTCTTCCTGACTCCAAAATCCATGCTTTTTACAGGACTTTTTCTCTACTCCTACTGGTGACTGGTACTAAATAGAAAAAAAGCCTTTTTAGGGTGGTTACACAATGGAGAAAAGACATGGTTGCAAACCCACCTGACAAGGAAATGCGCTCAAGAAACCCTAATGAGGCAAACTGAGGCCTAGGCAAGTTAATAGCTTTATTCAATGCCCTTGCCACAGCCTATATGCTACTAGAGGCAACTTCAGAGAGATGTGTGTCTCTTCAGGAGAGACACATATTTGACCTGGCTCTGTGGATCCGTTTCTATTAAGTACCCAGCTATAGACTAAGATGAAATCACTTTTACCATCTTATCTTCTCAAGAACAGCTCCCTCTGACAAGCTGGCAGATGCTCAGTGTCTGGAAAGGTGAGTGGGGACATTCAATGTAGGTAGATGTTTTGAGGGTTTATGAGGTGGGCAACGGTGGGAATTGGGGAAAGAAAGAAAATAGGGCGGTTCTGGGAGGCAAGTGAGGCCTTGGGCACTCAGAGGGCAGCGGCGGGCAGCGATGGCTGACCGTCAGGTTCTCACCTTTAACCGCCAGGCGGATGTTCAAACAGAGTTTGGAGAAGATGCGACTCCTTTCGGCGTCTTTGGGCCCCTTGATGTGCCTGACTTTGGACCACTTATTGTGCCCGGCTGGGGCCACTGCGGTCAGGTGCAGCGTCCTGCCAGGAGCGGAGCCGCAGCCCAGGGGATCGGGCTGGAAGGGCTGGGGGGCGCGTGGAGGAGCCGCCCGGACACCGAGACTTTGTGCCCACAAGCATCGGGCACCGGCCCTGCTCAGGCTGGCGGCGGCCCAAGCAGCCATTGGCTCCGACCCTGGACTGCAAGCTGGAAACAGCAGCAGCCAAGGTCAGCCCGTCCGGTCCGCCACCAGAACAAGCCGGTAGGGACCCCGCGGCCGCCTCTGCCAGTCACCAGAGACCCAAAGGATGAAGCCCTCCTGGAGCAGCCCACCCGCGAATGACCCCACACCCTCCCCGTGGCAGCCGGAAGTGGGGGCCTTCTATGGCGTAGCACACTTCCTTTCTTGGGTTCTTTCCAAAAATACGTCCCCATCGCCTGCAAAGTCCGTTCCGCAGCTGCACCGGACTCGCTCCTGTCCTGCCCTTGCGCAGAGCGCTACAGAGGAGAGGTGAGCTACTGCACAAGCCACTTGCCCAGGGCGCGCCGGACTTTATTTTCCATCATGAGCTATTAATAGTAGAGATACACCTGAGTTATGAAACTGATTTTTGCTTCCAAATTGCTGTCTAAATCTAAGCATGTCCAGAATGATAAATGTTTTGTTGTTGTAAAGGAATATATAGTTCAACTGCCTCATGTTACAGATAAAGAAACAGCTGCCAGAGAAGTGATTGGCCCAATCATTTAATCTCTCTGAGCTTCTCTATCTATAAACAAGGATGTTACTACTTGCTTTACCAACACAGGAAGGTTGAAAACACAAAATGAGCCCTTGGAGCTTTTAAGCAATAAAGTCTAATGTAAATAGCCACAAGTGATCATAGTGATTAATCCCCTAAATGCAAGACATGGCTTTGGGACAGATTCAGATGAGTCACAGGCCACTGGGAGAGGGAGAATGATCAGATGAACTTTTTGAAGCCAAATTCCCCTCTTCATTTTCCCTCTGCTCTCCTGAAAGAGAAAACCGAGGCCATTAGGAGAAGATGGAGAAGAAAGAAAGAAGTGGCAGCTGCTAAAAAACTTTGTAGTGGCTCCCATGCTGGCGAGATTAAGTCAAAAGGGCTTGGTCTGTTAGGCAGAGAAGTAGGACAGGTGTGAAGTTTAAGCTTGTGCCCTCTGGGGTTAACTGGGTGGGTTCAAACCCTGGTTGTTCCATTTATCAGTGTAACCTTGGCCTTTGCTTTCCCATATGTGTTTCCTCACCTATAGGGTGGCCTTTGAGGATTAAATGGGATAATGGATGCAAAGTACACAGGCATGCATAGGTTTTATGTCTTTTGTTATTTAAGAACCTCCACAATCTCAGATCTACTCATTTTCCAGTCTCATGCGCTGATGCTGCACTCCTGTGGGAGAGATTTACTCACTGTACCCTGAGTACAAGCTCTTTATCATCTTTTGCTTCTCGCCGTTTGGAGTGTCCTTCATTGTCTTCACTGGTGAAATCTTTATCATGCTTCAAGACCCAGTTCAACTGTCATCTCCTCAGTGGAACCTTCTTACAGTCCCCCTTTTGAATGTTTAGCTGTAATTAGAAGTTCATTTATGAATTTTTATTATTATCCAAGCTACTTAGTGATGAGTCCAGCACTCACCACCTTGTACTCTGCAGATTAGAAACACCAAATTGCTCCTAGTATTTCTCTAAATTCCTGTATTAAGCACAAAACTGTGTCTTTGCTGGCCTGTTTCATCTTACTTCATCTGGCTAGTTTTGTTTTTCCTTTAAGATTAAACTCAGGCATCATTTCCCACCAGAGGGAAACATCTCCAAAGTCTCCATTTGAGCTCAGGTGCCCTTCATATAACCCGTCATATATGCTTGTACCTTAGCACTTACCTTTTTTATATCAAAATGTTTATGTCTGTCTCTGCCATGATACTGAAATCTTTCAGAGCAGAGCTGTACTTCCTGTGCCCAACACAGTTCTTATTTGTGTTTATAAATAACAGCTTTATTGACATATTTCATATATCATACAGGTCACCAATTTAAAGTATACAGTGGTTTTTTAGAATATTCAGAGTTGTACAGCCATCACCACAATCAATTCTACATTTTCATCATCCCAAAAAAAAGACCTGTACCCATTAGCAGTCACTCCCCATTTCCCCCAATTCCCAAAACCCTAAGGCAACCACCAATTTACTTTTGTCTATGGGTTCTGCCTCTTCTGGACATTTCATATGAATGGAATCATACGACTACATGATCCTTTTGTGACTGGCTTCTTTCACTTAGCATGTTTTCAGGATTCATCCACGTTGTACCATGTATCCACATTTCATTCCTTTTTATCGCCAAATAACAGTCCATTGTATCAATATACCATATTTTTATTTATCCATTCATCAGTTGATGGACAGTTGGGTTGTTTCCACCTTCTATTATGAATAATGATGTTATGAACATTCATGTACATGTTTTTGTGTGAACATGTTTTCACTGCCCTTGGGTATATACCTAAAAGTGGAATTGCTGGGTCACATAACTCTTCTGTTTAACCTTTTGAGAAACTGCTAGACTATCATCCAAAATGGCTGCATCATTTTACAGTCCCACCAGCTATGTATGAAGGTTCAGTTTCTCCACATCTTTACTAAATCTGTGTTTGTGTGTATTTTTTTTAAGAGACAGGATCTCACTGTATCATCCAGGCTGGTCATGAACTCCTCGTCTCAAGTGATCCTCCCACCTCAGCCTCCTGAGTAGCTGAGACTGCAGGTGTGTGCCACCACACCCATCTTAAATTTATGCTTTTGACTACAGCTATAGCCATCCTAGTGGGTGAGAAGTGGTATCTCATCATTTTGATTGTATTTTCCTCTAAATAACTAATAATGTTAAACATCTTTTCATGTGCATCCTAGCCATTCATACATAGTATTACTTTTTGTAATTTAAAAATATAGTTTATTATAAATGTTACTTTGAGTAGCAAAAAGCAGGTTAATGGGACTTATAATCATAAATAAGCATACAGGCCAAAACGGGGTTTGAGATTGCCCTAGTCCAATCAGCCTAAACCCACCAGGGGAAAAACTATGATCCAACAAAGTCAGGCTTATTGGCTCACTACAAGGGAGACTGCATACCACAGGAATGGTAAGGTGTCTCACCAAACAAAGGAAAAGATGGTCATAGGTGAAATCTGAGTGAAATCGAGTTTGATAGGCTCAAAGGAACACAGGTGAAAAGAGGACAACATCAGCTCTGGATGGCAAAGTGGACACAGGGGATTAGTTCCTTTGGAAGTGCAAAGTTAAGATAAATGTGGAATGTTGTGTTCAGAAACTCTAGCATTGAAGCTGTATACTGAGTTGGAAATCAAGGCTGCTTCTCTATGTCAAAGTGACTTAGCTCCTCTAAGCAAAACTGTAAGGCTTCATTCTCACTGATACGATTTCACAAGTAAACTTTGTCAGCCTATGATTTTAGAGAACAAAGTTTCTCATGGATTAAAAAAAAGTCACTCAGAGAAGCGAGTTGTTATGACACTTTACGTTGCAGTGTGTTCTTGGAAGAAATATTATATCCTGTTAATGGTGCAGCTGGTTTTATCTCTGTCTCCCAATATGTGATGAATGGCAGGGCAGATTTTTACTTTCTCAGCCTAAGCTAATAGTTACTTTCTCAAGATAAATTCACAGGTGATTGAACCATCTCTAGAGGATTGGTTGTCAGGGTCATTGAAATCACTTAACTAACGAGCCTTGGAAGCTACAGACTGGCTGAAGGTATCATCAGATTAGGTTTGAATATATTGTCCAACAGCTCTCGATGAATGAGATGACATTGGTTATTATTCCAGATACTGTGCCAATTTGCTGGTGTGGCCAAGACATAACTATTTACTCACTACTTCATTTCCTCTTCCAGGGCACACAGGATGGCTATATTTCTTGACCTTCCTTGCAGTTAGATTGGAACCATATGACTAGGTTTGGTGGATAGGGGCAGAGGTGAGCCATCTCCAGGCCTATCCTGAAAAACCTATCTACCCACCTCCAAGGCAACCTGGAGGTCACATGTTCTAGATGATGTAGCTACAAATTGGAGAAGGATCAACCTCCAAAGGACTTTGTGTAAAATAAACTTTCGTTGTGCTCAGTTCCTGAGAATGGGGGATTTGTTATAGCGCATAGCCTATCGAGATAAGTATAGTCAGTGTTACTCTCCCAGCTTTGTCCTTTAAAACCAGAGAGCAGGAATCATCTTTTTCCGTAAAATATACATTAACTTGACTTCCTGTCTCACCCCTGTCTCAAGAGACACTTTCTTCATTGCCTATCCTCCTAAAATGCAATTCTGATCACGACTTCCCTCTGCGTAAATTTTCCAGTCTCATACAGGAGTGTAAGGTCTCAAATTTTTGCAAAGCACAGAAGACTCTCCCTGGCCTGGCTCCTGCTTACCCCTCTAGCTACATTTCTCACCATTCACCATACAAAACCCCACACCAACTTGGAATTCTCTGAACATGACCATACTCTTTCTTGTCTCTAGAGCTTGCACATGGATGTTCTCTCTGCCTTCAATGCCATTCCCTATTCCTGGAGAACTCCTCCTCAGCCTTTAAAACCCAGTTTGGGCACCCAAAAATGAGCAATTTGAGGGTCATGTCCCCCATGTCCCCAAGCACAGAGGAGGTACTCCATGTTTTGTTACCTGAATAACAAGTGAATGACCGAACGGGAGATAAAAGGTGATGAGTCGGACTGTCAGAGAAGTGTGATTCCCCCTGCCAGCATCTGGAACATGACCACAGTGACAAAATGGGAAGAAGGGAATTCATCACACAAAGAAATTCAATCTATACATGTTCAAGTTTTATTACAAAGTATGATGGGCAGAAAATACGGTACTTCTTATACAGGAGGCTGAAACAGAATGAAAGGGTGAAAATTAGGTTTAATGTACTTAGGAAACAAGAAATAAAGTCATAGATATAACACTCCACTTTCAAGTGCCTTTGAAGTAGACTTCAATAGAGATTCCCCATCGTCACTTCACAGCACAGTGTTAAAATTTTATTATAAGCCCTGTGTACAATAAGTCCTGTGAAAATAATATTTATAAAAGAAAAATGGTTACAGTACAGTTCTGCAAGGGGCTGCTTCCTCTCCACCTGACCATGGGATGCCACAAAACCTACAGTATAAAGGGAAAGTTTAAATATGTAACAAGAAAGTAAATTCAGACATACTAGGCTAAAGGGCACAGAAATGGATCAGAGCTTAACATTTCAGAGAGCAAGAAATGTCCATTTTCTATATAAAAGTTTATACAATCATGCTACGAATTCACACTGAGGGTTGTGGGGAGGGAAAGTCACTGGCAAAAGAGGTCATAAAATACACAGGAACCAAAGCGAGTGAGTCATACTCGACTAAACCAATTCAAAGCTGCAGCTCAACAATTTTCATAACACACTGTATACCACAAGCAACCCAAGGTGAGAACATTTCTTTTAAATAGATATCGCAAGTTCATATCCACTGGGTTGTTCCAGAGGTGGGTACCTATACGTTTTCCAGCTGTTACACAGACTGTCAAGATGTTTCTTCTTGAGTTCAAACGTTCTTTAGCTTATTTGTTTCTGGTTGGATATACCAGTCCAAGCCTCTTTGGGAAGGCACCTGCATGTTTCCATGTTTAAAAAATGACATCCAGAAAGCAGCCTGAGAGGACCTGGCCCATCCCATGTGGCCACACATTTGACTTTGACCATTAGCAGCAATGACAACTGTGGGAAGAGGAGAGGGTGCAGGGGGGTGAGGTGGGCAAGGCTCTGCAACATGAGACACTCTCAGTAGCTGACCCAGCCAGGGCCTGGCCCAGGGTTCACAGTGACGGCTCACCTCAGCTCTCTTCCTGGGAAAACCCAACCTAAGTGCCAAGCATGACCCTCCTTCCTCGTCCTGGAGTGCAGACAGTAAAGGGAAAGGCTTCTACTTCAATGGTCTCCTCTTCCCCAAGCCAGGCAGTCCAAGGGGCTGCCATATTCTCGAAGTGGGGAAGGTGGAGGGACAACAGAGTGGGCTGCCCTCCCATGCTTGGTAAACCCTGCAGCTCCTACATGTCCTTACAGCCTAGGAATCCAAGGCCCAGGCTGCAGTAGGGAGAAAGTTCTACAGTGGAAAGGCAAGAGGAGAGAAGAGAAGAGAAAAAAGAGGGGTGAAAGACTGCATGACTGTTTACAACCTCTGCTTCTGCTTTGTACAAACCTACAACCAAGAAGAACCTGGTCTGGAATAATCATGGGACTCCCAACAGCTGTAGGCTTTTACCACCAAACCACCCACATTTGCTCTGCTGAAGGGAGGGGTTCCCCTCTGCCTTGAGCTATCATCCTGTCCCCACAGGGACCCAGCATCACGGGTGCCCCAGGAATGGTCTAGAAAGGCTGACCCAGGCTGAGGGCACGGTCTCACTCCACAGCCACCCAACAGTCTGAATGCCTCCCCACCTCAGACCTTCATGCTAATATCGCGTCCTTTGATCTACAAGAAAACACCACTGATTTTCTCCTGTGTCTTCAATCTCCTACAATTTCAGTCATAACTATAATCAAAACTTTGTAGGATTCTGAATTCTTTGTATTTCTTCCTGAATCTTAGTTATTTCTCTGAAAGCTGATCCAAGTTCTGGTAAAGAGTTTCTCGTCTAGTTATCAAATATCTTACCTCTTCAAGTTCTAACATTGCAGGCTAGCTCCTCCCTGAAAGGAGAGGTTCCAACTCTCCAGAATGTAAAAACTCAAGTCCTTGAATGACTGTACTGGACTTGACCCATTCTCCAGCCCCCTGGTGGTAAAGATCTGAGGCCTCATTTGTTCCGCACCTCCACCCTCCCTCAGAGCAGACCAAGAAACGCACAGGCAGCTTTGGCCCAGCCTGCCAAGAGCAAAAGGGCCATCACCAGCTGAGCTAGAGCCCACGTGGCTTTCCTGGTAAAGTGCTGGCAGCTGCTCCTCTCACACTCGGGGAGAGCGGACCCAGAGCTTTTCACTCACTCTCACTGGCTGCAATTTGAGAACCTCAACAAATTAAACAGACTTGCTTTTGGAACTACAACAGGATCTGTGCTTCCTAGAACACAGCTGGCTAAGGGCTTTCTAAATCCTGAGACTACAGAAATCCCCTCCTCAGCCATGGGTCATCTGGCCTACAGTGTAAAGGGAGGGTGAGAGCTGGGACATCAGAAGACCAGCCACCGTGAGTCTGTGTTTGCTCAGGAAGGTGAAGGGTCTCACCTGGGACGTCAGGAGGAGGACTGCACTGCAGGGCCTAAGGAAGGGTGACAGGGCTGGGAGTCCACAGGGCAAGGAAAAAAAAAAACCTTAAAAGTTGCTGATGTCCAGAGTAAATAGCTACTTTTTCCAAATAGCTTCCAGTTATTATTATTAACTAATTTTTTTTTGGTTGTTTTTGAGTTCTAGTTGACTTTTTTTTAATTTTTTTTTGGTTGTTTTTGAGTTCTAGTTGACAAATCTTACCACTCAGACCAGGTTTAAGTGCAGATCAGGAAAAAAATCTTAACTCAGAACTCAGTGGAGGTAAGCTCTGCCCCAGAAGAACCACCCCTTCCACCTCTCCTACTTCCATTTCAGACCCTTCCCCACAGGGAGGAAATGATGGCCTAGAGCAAGCAGCCACCAACTCAGACTTGCTGCCCCTGAGAGAAGGATCCAGTAACCATTATCAAACACAACGAACAGCAGAGGAGGGTTCTGACCAAGAATTGCTCGTTTTACGTCTTCAAATGATGTAGTACAAATCTGGTGGTGAAATGAGGAAAGTCCACGTCAAGCACACGGCCAGCCAAAGAGCCCCCAAATCAGAACCACAAAGTAAAAAGGTACAAGGAGAAATAACCCTGACTAAAAAAAGAGCCTTTTTCTTTGGGAGAAGCCCCTGTGTAGTAAAAGCATAGAGCTATGACTTTTGACATACAACTACATCTGCTTCTGAAAAGGAAGACTCAACCAAAAAGAGTTTAAGGGCACAAAAGAATGAACTGCTTTATTTCTCAAGCAGGTGAGAGCCTAAGTGGACAAAACCATCAGCCATCAGGCCTGCTGTATCCTAATCTCAGATGAGCAACACAAAGGTTCTTTAAAACCTTCAGGCACCAGGCACAGCATGAGGAACCTGGCCAACTCTCCCCCAGAGCACGTCCCAAACTCTGCCTGGCCCAAGTACTCATCCGACACTGGAATCACACACAAGCCCCCTCCATGGAACACATTCATGTAATGGAAAGATGCCTGCGGCCTGTAAGTCAACACAGACAGCTGCAGCCTACAAGTCCAATACTGCTCAGAACCTAAACTGGGGGAGGGGAGGGGTTGACAGGAATGGGTAGAGCTCTTAACTGGCTGACCCCGGGGGTCTGTAATTCTTTTTAGCTATCTAGTCACTTATGGCCTACGGTCGCCACATGAGAGCTGTCAGTCCCCACACTCTACAGATCTTGTTCAGAGTCAGAAGCATGGACTGTATGCCTCCCAAGAAGACCCCTCACCTCAGAGCGCCCAATCCAAAAAGTGGCCAATATTCTAACAGGGACAGTAAACTCAACCAACAGAAATACCGAAATTCAGCTCAGAGATTGTTCTTGCCTATCATTCAAGACACGAAATGGAACAGCCTGGGGCTTATATTTGGAGGGAAAAACAGACTCTGAAACTACGTACTGAAAATATGCTCTAAGTTCAGCTTCCTGAAGCTATTCCCCTCAAGTCAGGCACCCCAAGTAGCCTGCCTATGTCCGCTCTACCATGTTCCCAGCAGGCACCAGTGGGGCTGGACAGTGGTACTTCAGGGTGTAACAGAAGCCTTCCTATGTCTCATTGCGAGTCCAGAATGCCCTTGAGAAGAGCCAGGCTAAGAAAAAGTGTGATGAGTCAGCAGACTTCAGAGCACCAAGGTGGTTTCAGGAGTCCCGGTCAGGTATGTACTACTCAGGCAGTGACTCAAGAAGGCAAACTGCTCATGGGGTCAGGGGCCCAGTACCAGCTCCAGGCACTGAGGGAAGACAGGAAGGTACAAAGAGGGAGAACTATAAAACGAAGAAACCAGGAAGAGTAAAATTCTTTTCATAAAAAAATTAGCCTGATAAAAAATATACAAAGTTGAAGTTTGTTAAAGACATCGATGCTAGGAGGACAGACAACTTCAAATTGGTATTTGTTCCCACGTAAACGTAAGTGCTAACACGGACATGGACGTGGACAAGACATGGGCTGCTGCCTTGGGCAGCAAACAGACGGAGACATCTGGGGCAGATGAATACAAACATAGCTAGTGCTTGACTGCTCATTAACATGACAACTGACAAACAAATATACAGAAATTTTTAATTGAGGAACCAAAAGAGAAGAGGAAAGGAGAGAAAACCTTAAAACTCAGCCCTGGGCTGAGGAGGCGCCACACAGCACTGAGTCTGGCACAGAGAGCGATGGGTAACTGGCCAGGAACTCTTAGAGCAGCTTCTGGTAACAGTGGGTGCAAAGCAACGAAAGACATACTGGCCACCGGAAACATATTTCTTCTTACTTTGGGGGTGGGGCAGAGGCGGGAAGCACACAAGCCCCTGCCTCGTGGGCACCGAGCCACTGACACTACACTCTGAGTATCTCCAGGCAGTTGTTGTAGCAGATGGCAATCCAGTCGGGCTGAGTAGATGCCCACTGCACATTGTTGATCTCTCCTTCGGCTGTGTAGGCCAGGATAGGGTCCTCGATGGCCCGGGGCATTTGCTGGATGTCCCAGATGAGAGCTTGATGGTCATCCGCTAAGGACAAAGAAAGTCAGCAAGCAAGGTCACAACTTAACCAATGGAGATGACGATCCCTGCATTTGGGGAGTGAGCCACAGTTCACAAGCATTTGCTCACCAAAGCCCCTGTGAAGAAGGTTTTATTTTAAGCCCCGATTTTATAGATGAGGAAACGTTAAGGCAGTTGCCCCAAACCACACAGCTCTGCCACTCACTGGTGGCAGAGCCAGAACTCAAACCTAGGCCTTGACTCCATGTCCCATTCAGACGTCC